GAAGCAGGTGGTAAATGGTGACTTTATTTCAACTAATTAATGGATGGAAAGGGTTGATTCTTTAATACAATTCACCACTTTCACTTTGTGGCCATGTGGCAACCTTCAAGCTCTAGTTATAAACTTTTGTGAGACTTGTCATTCCCGGTCACCTGCTCATTCTCTTTTTTTATTTTTCACGAAGCTGGAGAAGGTGACGCGTACGAGCAAGCAGGGCGTAGCGAGTGCCGTAGCTACTACCCGTAGCTGGGAGGAGCCGAGGCTTTGCAAAAAACGTGAGCAGATAAGACATGGTTGCCGTGAAGAGTCCTAACTTCCCTGTGCGACATTTACACAAGCTTTATGTGTCTATTTTATGTGCTGCTTAAAAAGAAAAAGGGATAATTATCATGAGCACAGTAATGCATAGTGTGCACGCTGTCTGTGAAGTGCCCGTGACCATTAAAGCCACATCACCTGCACATAACTGGAATTGCAATGCAGCTCTGGATCTTTATTTAAGCTAAACTTCAGTACTTGGAGCAGCATTTTAATAGCACATATTTCCCCCCTCAGCAAGCTAGTTCTCCTAATGATGAGTGTTTTGAACATTTTATTTTGTTGTGCCTTGAGACGCAGAGTGAGCACCGTTCCCCCTCCTGCGGTGTGAGCACCCGCTGCCTGCCCGTGGTCCGCCACATGAGCACCGCCGAGCACGGGCACAAGCCTCGCCGGTGCGTGCTCACAATCCCGCCGCCGTGCAACCCCCAGGACGTGTCCCCAGAGTGCGCAGGAGGGTCGGCACGGGTCTCCCAGCCCAGCCAGGTAGGCTGGCCGGGCTCCCCCCTGTTTGCTGCCCACCCAGCAGCGCTGTCTCTGGCCTCTGGGGAGTCTTAAGCATTTATAGACCCTGCCAAGGGTTCGGCTCAGTTGGTTCCTGCAGCCATGGATGCTTGAACCCCCGACAGGCTGACAAAGGAAACGGTGCCAGGAGCTCAGTAAACTCTGCTGGGTACAGGCCAGAGAATTGTTTTATATATAAACAACCAAAATCTCTGGAAGGGAAATAACATCAAGCCTCGCAAGGCAGCTGAAGGCGCCGATCGAGGATGGTGGAATTTATCTCTGCTCTGGTGCCAAAAGTTTCAGGGATAAAGACTACTAAAATTCAGTCAGTAACCCTCATAAAAGCGAGTGCTGCTGTCTGCTGGTACGCTGGCCCAGCAGCGGTTGAGCATCCCCAGCCTCGTCGAGCTCTGGCAAAATGAATGTGGAATGAGTCCAGAGTCCAGCCTGTCTTAAATCCAGTGGATAAAAACCTGGGAAGTCCTTGAACGCTAATCCTTAATAATGTCATTTTTGCTTTCTGTTGTAAAACCCTGTGCATTAGTGCTAGGAAGGCTTTGGTGTGTGCGGAATAACCTGTGCTGATGGGGCATGGCAGCGCCGTGGAGGCTTGTTCATGGTTTCAGAGTCACCTGCTCGGGTTTCTGCTCTCGGGAAACCATCCCAGCCAGCTAAGGCAGCTAACGTGTAACAACAGCATTTCTTAAAAAAAACAACAACAAAACAAACAAGCAAAAAAACCCCAACAATTCTGTGGTAGCGACAGTTTTGTAAAGGCAGCTTTCTGGATGCTTTTAGTTTTGGGCGACCCGTAGGGTTTTTGCTTTTCGATTTGTAACTGGCTCATAGGAACTCCAGAGTCTTTAAGATACAGAGGGCCCTTTAATCATGGGCAAGAGCCTTATTTATGGGCAAGTGGCATTGAAGAGCAGGGTGACAACTAAAATACTTGGCTTGGTTACAAAATCTAAACAACACTGAGGACATTAGGAGGATGTCTTCTAGACAGCAGTTCAGTTTAAAATGGAGAAAGATACCGTAATTTCTTATTTTGAAGTGCTGACATTTCCCATATGTTCTTCAGTGAATATGAACTTGAAATCAGCTTCACTTTGACACTGGAAGTTTGCCCAAGAAAGGTTTAGCAGCGAATCAACAATATCCATGGCGTTTCGCAGATCTTGATGAAAGACACAAATTAAAAAAAAAATTTTTTTTCAAATGATCTGTCTCGGAGTTTAATAACAGCGTGTTGTGGGATAATGTCGAAGGAATGCAGGAGAAACCTGAGACCCGATTGCTGCAGTCAAGCTAAGCGCGTTGCAGAACACACAGAGTCGAGGTTCAGCTGTGCCCGTGCCCCGCAGAGCCGCTGCAGGCTCCTCCGCCTTGCGCCGGGGGCAGAG